TCAGAGAATGTTTGGGCGATTCGTTTAAGAAAATGGGGCTTGGAATGTGGCCCATCAGGTAAATTCGCAGAACTCAACAAAATTTCCGGATATGTATCTAATGAATTCACAGAAAGAGAAGATGGGTCATGGAATTTGCAGCATAGCGACCTCACTCGGCGCGATTCGGAGCGTGGGAAGGAAGAAAAACCGAGTCTTGGCGCAGAATGGACTCGGGGGAGCGGGCAAGATGGTTTAAGGCGGTGGATTTTAGAAGGAACGGAATTGGAATAAATAAGCCTCTCCATATCAAAACCCCCACACCCTACGAGTTTCTGGGGAATTGATTTACTGGAAATTTGAACGAATTGTTAGATTTTCAGAGGAAAAAAATGTTGCAAGAGAAGGGCAAGTGGAGTGGAAGAAAGAGGCAAAGGGATGAAGGGATAACATACCTAACTTGATTGCTCTATGAATCTACCAATTTGATTGGCAGTTCAACTGTATCTTGAATTTTCTTTTCCATTTTAGAAACATTTGAAATAATTAAATAATGAAATTATACAATAAAACTTGTTGAGACGTCTAACTAAACATTCAAAAAAGAAATGTAATTAAAAAGTTGATAAAAGTTAGGGATCTCATAAAATGTATCGCTATATTAAAGTTTGATCGATTGAAAAGTCGATAAAAGTCTTAACATAATTTTATCAAATAAGTAGTAAATTTGGTCACGAATTGTGATTGTGAGCATCTACCATCGAACACAAATTTAAGTTGGGTCAATTCTAGAAAAAATGTCGTATTTGATGGAGTTTTAGGCCACTCTTGTGTGGATTATCTCTCACATTTTGCAAATTTTGGGGGTATAGATTGCAAGATAACATGAAATTTGCACATATGGTAGTTTTTTAGTGTCTACACTTGAATATACATGTTGATAAGAAATGAAGGATGTAGTCAAAGTGGGTGAATTGTTTACTCATTTGGCATTGACCAGTTTAAGGGAAGTTGTGGTCTGATTGTGTCCACAATATACATTAGAATAAGTAGTGGTGCCTTTCACATCTTACTTTACCAAACTTAAATACATTTAGTTACATTATAATTATTATTTTTTGAATTTATCTACTTTTACATTATTTTTTGTCAACTGTTGATTAGCTCCGATATGACATTCTGTCAAAGTGTAAGTTCTTTTTGTACATGTAGCAAGCTCCTTTTTTTTCACTTTAAAATTTTCAAGCTCTTGACTTTCTTTTAATATAAATAACTTATTTATTTTCATTTTTAATCAATTAAAAAATTATGTATTTAAAATTTTTATTAAAACTTTTTAGTGTAACTTTTTGAGCTTAGTGGAAAGAGGTTTTTTGTAATTGTTGGAATCTAAAATTAACCTTAAGATGCTTAGGTTAGCGAAGAATTTTGAAAGAGTGAGTTAAGGGAGGGAGGGAGTTTGTTTTCATTTCATACATGGTGTTCTATATATTCTTGGACTCATATTGGAAATTGAAGTTTAAGTGTCAATCTCCTATATTAGATTTCGCGAGAAATTTTTATGGAATTTGTAATCACTTTTTAAAACTTTTAGTATAGTGAATAATATCGTCTTGTTGCGTGTAAAATATAAATTTTGTGCCTTAAAGACTCTTGTATACGATTATTTTGGTTTAGCTCTATTATAAATCAATGCTCACATTGCGTATGTTGTTTGTTAAAAGGAGCTTTTGGCTTGATCTTGTAGTATATCCACTGCCGTATTAAAAAAAAATTGGTATCAATGTATATATTTGTTTGGATATATATATCTGTAATTTCATTGACTCTCAAGCAACTCATGGAGCATCTATTTAGTAAACGGGAGGTCTTGAGTTCAATTCTCTACAAGAGCAATCCGTAAAATCATTATAAAGGGACGTATTTGATCTTGTAATCCTCTTTGGAAGTATGAAATGTTTGACTGCTATAACATTTGGTAATATTAATATTAAATGTAATATATATTTATACGTTTAGTTTTAGTAAAATAATAGATATATTTGATTTTTATTACTGCCACTAATGATCAACAATCAACGATCGTCTGTGCTTACTCGAGATCCTGGATCCGCCATTGAATATATCCATATTTATGAATATTGAGGCAATGACCTCACATCGAAGTATGAGTTTGGATCTTCAAGAAACCCGAGCTCGTTGTGATGTACATGGCAAGATATAGGGCATAGCTCCCCTAAACTCTATCCCACCTCTAAATGTGGAGAAAGAAAAGTTATTATAAAAATAAATATATACTATCGATGTTTAAAAATTATAAATAAATTGTAATGAGTGGTGAATAATACTTGTGAGTCCCACGAAACATGTAAATAAAAAACGAATTGAATATGTATAAAAAGTTTGTAAACATGAGACAAATTCAACTTCACCGTAATGATATACTTGTTTATTTTCTAAAAACCATGTGGCATATAGTGCCTTCAATGTTTGTCTTTCACAATCTTGCGAAGACGTCAATTCCAACAGCACAACCAAATGATAGACAACAAAGACGATGCCAGTTGAAAGTGTTCATGGACAAGTCTCTTCGTATAGCGCTCAAAGTTAGGAGAATGGAGGGAAAACAACAAGTAATTCGTATAACTATCTCAAAAATCCAACATTTTTGTTTACTAATCACTCGTTCGTCCATGATTTAATTTTTTTTTGCCACCTCAACTCATTACCACGCATTAGGAATGTCAAAATGGGCTGGTCAAATTTAGGTTCGATTCATTCCCATTACAAACCTAAATCTATTCATGTAAAAGTACAGTCTAGGCCACACCTATATTGTCTTTGAAGTTGCGGACGTTCCCAGTCAGATTTGTTATGCCCATTGATTTTAAACTTCTTTTTCTTTTTGGGAAATTATGCAACTAACTATTGTTACATTTATAATTCCAATTATACAACTATTACTTTTAAATTTTACAAATACTAGTTTTTTTTAAAAAAAAAATACACATACACAGGGACGGATCCAGAACCGGATTATAGGCCGGGTTAATACGTAAAAAAAAAAAAAAATTACACGTGATTTTTTTTTTTTTTACATTGAGGGAGGCTGTAGCCCCCCTCCATCCGTCCCTGCACATGCACATGCACACAAACGCACACCATCATTGGCCAACACATTTACTGAACCACCACCACTAAATAACACCACCTACGGACCTCCATTGTTGAGAAACAACCTCTACTACCACCACAAATCACCACCAATGCCATTGAATTGAGATATGGTTAAAATCTTGAACCCAAATTCAGTTTTAAGATACGGATTTGGGTCAAATCTAAAATTCGATTTGATTCCGGAGGTTTTTGCAATTTTTCTTATCAGTGGAGTGTTTGGTGGTAATCTGAAATCAATGCCTCCGGCCATCAACATCGTAAGTTTGTGTTTTGTATGTGTGCTTGCGTGTGTATTGTTGGTTGGGATGGGGGTGACATTCGATTTTCTCTGAATATGGTGACGGTGTTGGATGAACTGTTATTAAGGTGGCAATATTGAACTTCTACTGGTTCGGAAAAGTGGTGGTGGTGACAATATAACAACGTATGTTAGAAAAAAGGATGGTGTTGGCGAAGGCGATGACAATCGCTGCGACAAAGAGAAGATTGAGTGATACAAATGTAATATAAATGTTCCAAAAGTATAGTGTAAAAAAATAATAAGAAAAACAGTTAGTTAGATTTTTTTTTTTGTTTTTTGAGAAAAGTAAAGTTAGATAGTACTTAGAGAAATAATTTAGTTTCTTAGCCTTTTTTTTTTTTTGGAAGTTCCCTTTCTTTCTAATTTTTTCTTGGTGTATTTATTTATTGGAAATAGAGCCAACCCTCCTTTAAATATTACATTTTAATTTCTTTTCACTTTAGCTCCTGTGACCCCATTCTATAAGAATTTATTTTTCTTAAACTTATTTTGAACTATATATTCCCTTAATAAAATAATTTTACGTGTAAATAAATAATTTTTTCTTACTTTTTAAAAACACATTTTCCAAAGAATCACCGTTACAAAACTTA